TATATATATTGATGTCTCAACCCTACTGTTTACTTTTTCTTAGTTGCTGCCATATTTTAATTTTTTAAAGAGGTTTCTAATTATTTTTACTTTATGTGTAGGCATGTATGTGCACCACCTGCCCAACTCTTGCCAGGGGAGGGCAGAAGACAGCATGTGATCCTCTGGAACTGAATACAGATGGTTAGCCACCATGTGGGAGCTGGGAACTGTTACCCTACGAGGGTAACAAATCCTCTTAACCCCTGAACCATCTCTTCACCCATATGGGTGTGTGTGTGTGTGTGTGTGTGTAAAGCCTGCCAGAATTTTTATTTAAAAAAAAATTTTTAAAGCATGATTTTTTTTTTTTTAAATTTTAATGCATATAGCATTTTCCTTTACCTTTCTGAGGATATTGTTTTAATACTGTTTTTCTCTTTTGAGATAGGCTTTCTGCAGCCCAGCCTCTGAAGTACTGGTACTACAGGCCTGAGTCACCATGCCCAGCTATTGTTTTGTTTTGTTTTTTTTTTTGTTAGAAGCATTTCATTACAGCTTTAACGTACTCAATAACAATTTCTAGAGCAAAAATACATTTTCAAAAGTGGCTATACAATTTTTAGGTTCACAGTTGAATTTATACAGTTATACAATATTGAACTCAGTATAAACCCTGTAAAACATAAAATTGAGTTTTTAACCTTTAAAAAAGATCTCCATTTCATTTTAAAATATACAGTTTCTTACAGAAAAACTCATTGTTTCTGCTAATAACACTTAGATGTTGGTGCATGCATCTCTAATCTGTATGTATCTGATTATTATTAGTCATGGTCGGTTGCACTCGGATCCTTGGCACCAGTATCTGGCTATAAAGTCATTGGGTAGATTTCAATGGCAATGTTTATCACCTCTACTAATTAACATGACGTAAATTTTTATGCTTCCTCCTCAAATATAACTCTTTTAAGCTGGTCTAGTAAGGTAGCCCAGGTTGGCCTCAGCCCCCTGAGTGCTGGGATTACATGTAAGTGATACCATGCCCGGTTTCTGAGGCTATTTATTTATTTATTTATTTAATTTTTTTATTTTTATTTTTTGATATTTTATTTATTTTTATTTTATGTGTATGAGTGTATTGCTTGCATGTATGTGAGCGCCTCGGAGGTCAGAAGAGGGCTTTGGATTCCCTTGGAACTGGGGTTAAGGACGGTTCATAACCTCCATGTGGGTGCTGGGAATCGAACCCAGGTCCTCTGCAAGAGCAGTCAATGCTCTTAACCACTAAGGCATCTCTTCAGCCCCTCTGAGGCTATTTATAATAACAGTGTCCCCTCTCTTACATTGTTTAATTTTTATAAATTGCTTCTCCCTGTTTTGTTTTGGCCTTCTACCCCCAGATGTCTATTAATCCTTAATTTTATGTTCCTGTTTAACACTGTGGGACTCAGTAGCTAATTGCAAAGCTAGTGGATAGGCCAGATCAATTTCAAGCTTAACCATGGGGTGACTTCCCTAGTTCTGTTATTAGAGGTCTTTTGCTGTCTGCTACAGCTGGTTAGTGGCCTGGACATGCCTTTTTCAGTGTCCTGCTTGGATGGAGCATCCAGGTCTGGTGGGCCGTATTCAGCTAGAAGCAGACTGCATTAATTTCCTGTGTTACTTAAAAGCCTTGGTTTTCTGAATTTGTTCACACAAACTGGTAGCTCCTAGTCTAGAGAGCTAGAAGCTTTGCCTTGCTTATCCTTTAGAGACCAAACCTTTAGTGACGTGAAGAGAAGTGATGGTTTATAGGGGTCTGTTTAAACAGCTTGCAGCCAGTTCTGTTTCAGAGGCCTCTCCCCTACCCTCTATGCCTTCTGAGTATAAAGTGGGTTGATTCTCAGCATCTTTTGGGTTGGGACTGGGCTCTCGGCTCTGCACTTTGGCAGTAATCACTTGACCACTTGTTTTCAGCTTTTTTTTCTTTTTGGTCTTTTTGAGACAGGGTCTCCCTGTAGCCCCAGCTGTCCTGGAACTCACTATGTAGACCAGGCTGGCCTCGAACTCACAAAGATCCACCTGCCTCTGCCTCCCAAGTGCTGGGATTAAAGGCGTGCGCCACCACGCCTGGCATGCTTTCAGCTTTTTTATTGTCCTTTTTTCCTCCGTTCTTCCAAGTTTATGTCTTTAAAAATCATTCCTTTAAAAAAAAAAAAGGTTTTGGTGGCTGGAGAGATGACTCAGTATTTAAGAGCACTTATTGCTCTTCCAGGGGACCCTGCTTGGGATCTCAACACTTACTAAGGTGGCTAGCGCCTGTCCTAACTCCAGTTCCAGGTGATCCAGTGTCTTTGAGACACGGTCTCCCTGTAGCCTCAGCTAGCCTGGAACTCACTTTGTAGACCAGGCTGGCCTCAAACTCAGAGATCCTGCCTGCTTCTGCCTCTTGAGTGCTGGGATTAAAGGTGTGTGCCATGCCACGCCTGGCTAAACTGAAGTCTTCCTAGAACTTGAGATTCTCCTGCTTCAGCCTCCTGAGTGGGGGTTACATGAACCATGCAGGGTATTGTTTAGCACAGTTTTATACTTTTTTTGTTGTTGTTAGGTAGTATGTGTGTGTGTGTGCGTGTGTGCGTGTGTGTGTGTGTGTGTGTGTGTGTGTGTGTATGTGTGTGTGTCTGCATACTTACGCCATAGCAACCCCTGTGGAGGTTAGAGGACAGTTTTCTGGTGTCAGGGCTCCTACTATGTGAGTTCTGGGAATTGGACTTGGGTTGCCAGGCTTGGTGGCAAGCTCTTTACTCAGTGAGCTACCGCGCTGACCCATTTAACATTGTTTTAAGAAAGTTTCAGGAAGGAGCAGAATCCAGAGACCTTAATCTGTCATCTTTACCCAGAAGCTGGTATAAGAAAGTATATTATTTTATTTAATTAATTAATTAATTTGTTTATCTTTTTATATTTTTGAGACAGGGTCTCCCTGTAGCCCCAGCTGGCCTGGAACTCACTATGTAGACCAGGCTGGCCTTGAACTCACAGAGATCTGCCTGCCTCGGCCTCCTGAGTGCTGGGATTAAAGGCGTGCGCCACCACACCTGGCAAGAAACTATATTATTTTAAAGATTTATTTGTATTAATTTTAATTATGTGTATGTGTGTGTCTCAGTGTGTGGGAATGTGCCCATGGGGGACAAAAGCATTGGATTCCCTGGAGCTAGAATTACCGGCAGTTGTGAGCCACCTGATGTAGGTGCTAGGAACTGTACCTGAGTCTTCTATAAGAGCAGCAAGCACTCTTAACTGTGGCATTGCACGACACAGGTGCACTCACATATATGCTGGCAATACACTCATACACATAAAGTAAAAATAATGAATAATAAACTATTAATAAAATAAAAAAAAAAGCTCTTGCTGCTCTTGAACCACTACCCACATG